AACCAGCCCTGATAAACAAACGAGCCCCACCCACCACCCAAGCCATTACAACACAAAACAACAACGGGGACACAGCCAGCACCAATCTACCAATCATGATACAGCCACACATACAATCAATCCACTTACTGAAACAATGCCAGCACTCCACCCACACCCCCACCAAGATTTATAGAAAGACGGCAGCTCCGACCACACTTTAAGCTGAAAACACCAGCCTGAAGATGGCGAGTGAGACCTCGCTGAAATGTTGCCAAGACAGTCTCAATCTTACATGGGAAAAGATCTGAATACAACAAGACCAGTATACCTACACCCGTGAAAACCTATGAAAACAAACACACACACACAGAGACATAAATTATTCTGTACATAAAATATAAATGATGCAATGTCTATGTTAGAAGACCTAGACCAGTGATGGCTTTTTTGGCTCCTGTGCCAAAAGCAGGGAGCGCAGGGGGGTCGTGCGCATGCATACCACACCCATAATGCTTTGTGTGTGTCCCCATGTTCGACCAATGCCTCCTGCTTTTGTTGTGGGTTTTTTGCCCTCCCTAGGCTCCAAAGGATTTCTAGGAGCCTGGGGAGGGCAAAAACAGCCCCTCCCACTCCCGCAGAGGGGGCAAAAAACAGACCTACGGGGAACCCGGAAGTTCAGGAATAGTCACTTCCGGTTGTCCGTAGGCCCATTTTTCGTCTTCCGGAGCCTTCAGGAAAGCGTCCTGAAGGCTCCGGAGGGCAAAAAACGCCCCTACGAGCAAACCGGAAGTCTGTTCCCGAACTTCCAGTTTGTCCGTAGGGGCGGTCTTTTGCATTCCAGAGGATTAAGGGAAGCCTCTGGAGGGCGAAAAACGGCCTCAAAAGTAAGCTGAAGTCAGCTGGCCAGCACATGCATGCATGCTGGAGCTGACAGGGCAACGCCTCGCATGCCCTAACAAATGGCTCCTCGTGCCACCCCTGGCACACATGCCATAAAGTTCACCATCACGGACCTAGACATTAGTATTTGAACACAGATCTTTTAAACATATTTTATTGTGTTTTACTAATCTAGATATGTTAATATATTTTGCTAGTCCATCTATGATATGCCATGTGCTAAATAGATAAATAAACAACTGAAAATCTGGTTCCAAGTCAAAAATTCCTTGTAGTCTGAATGCTGGGAACATTGGACCTATTGGATAGTTCAGATCTGAGTTCAGATCTCACTGTATTCTGACCTTCATCATGTAGGAAGTTAGCACCCACCGCTCTGCTAGAAGAATTAAATATACTAGGAAATATTGAAAAGGCAGAATATTATATTTTCCTGAATCAGAAATGGAGAAACATGTTTTTAGACAGGAAGAGACTCACTCTTAATAGTCCCCACCTTTGTCAATGGGCCATTAAAATGCCTGAGCCAGTCTATTCTACATAACAAAGATAGGATTAGCCTGCAACAGCAACTCACCACATGGCATCTGGGAACTCATCCAAGCTTGGGACTCAATAGACACACAACCTACAAAGTTAGCAAAGACACCCCTCCCCCCGGGAGTCTGACAACAAATCAGAACACACTCCTTACACAGGAACAGGAAATGTGGAACCAAACAGAGTATAAAAAAACTTAGGAACTCTCAGCAAGCCCGTTCGCTTCTTTTTCTTCACTCCACATCTTCAAAACATGTGAGCACCTTTTTGCCTAGGACCTCAAGCCATGTGGTCCTGTCCACCATTAAAACCATTTTTTCCAAGCAGCCTCCATGTTGCCAGTGTCTTTTTCCCCACTTGGAACTGAACCCAGAAGGACGGTTCCAACAATTAGAATAGGAAAAAGTACCATTTCCTCCCATGAAAACCATTCTAGGGAATTGTTTCAGGATCCCAGAAACCCTCTGAGGAATCTATGCACTGTTTTACTTGCTAGGCTCTTTCCTCATAGAGGAAAAAATAAGAGCTAGGCAAAACATTAGGGATTCCCCCAATAAAGAGGACTGATTGAAAGAACCTGGGAGACAATTTACCCTTAAAATTCCACAACTCTACTGCAGCCAAAATAGAAAATCCCATCAGTGCTGAAGACCAAAAGCCTAATACAGGTAATCCTGGAATTACAACCATTCATTTAATAATCATTCAAAGTTACAATGGCACCAAAAAAAGTAGATTATCACTGTTTTTCATTCTTACGACTGTTGCAGCATCCCTGTGGTCATGTGATCAAAATTTATTTGGCAACTACCATATATTTATGACCGTTGCAGTGTCCGGGAGTCATGTAGTCACTTTTTGTGACCTCCTGACAAACAAAGTCAATGCAGAAGCCAGATTCACTTAACAACCATGTGACTAACTTAATAGCTGCAGTGATTCATCTAACAATTGTGACAAGGAAGATCATAAAGTGAAGCACAACTCACTTTACAACTGATTTGCTTAGCAACAGACATTTTGGGCTCAACTGTGGTTGTAAAGTCAAGAACTACCTATACCGAAACCGCTTTAACCAGATTTATGAGTTGAATTGTGTGTGTCCCTTTGACTCAGTCTGTTTTCCTGACAGCAATTTTCAGAAATGATTTATCATCTGACAAATTTGTCATTCCACTCCATTCCAGAAGTTAGAAGCCATTTTGAAAAGTTTGCCACTCCATTATGCAAGTAAAGATAGACCTTGAGCTACTATGGAGCCTGCCTATCATGGTCCTAACTTGTGACAATCGTAAACTGGATGCGTAAACTGGATGCGACAATCATAAACAATTTTACAATCCTTTTTGCAGCAGTAAAAGAATCCAAGGATGTTAAGTGAACATCACGATGGTTAAACAAACCAATGGTTCTCTATGGGCATGGTTTTGCTAAAAACAGGAAGTAAATGGTGTTTTCAGCAAAACTATTATAAAACATGATCATGTGACTGAAGGACACTGCAAATGGCTATAAATGCAGCCCAGCTGCCAAGTGCCTGAAATGTGGTCACATGACCATGGGGGGGGGGGCTGCCAATCAGAATTCCAAATCTGGATTGTAACCCCCTGTCTGTCAATACTTGGACCAGTCATGACTGGTTGTAATAATTCAAGAACTAACTATCGCTGAAGTCACATAAGCCAGTGGCTTCCAACCTTTTGGGTGCCAGGGACTAGTTCTATGGAAGGCATTTTTTTCTGTGGACGGGGGGGGGGGGGCATGGATTTGCTCACTTGTGTGGCCCAGTTCCTGATAGGCCAAGGAATGGTGCCGGCCCACAGCCAGGGTCTGGGGATCCCTGATGTAAAAAAAAGAGCTAGAGAGTGCTGGGATAAGAAAGTTGATCTTTAAGCATATAAAAATCATGCCCAGAGACGGATAGCTTAAATCAGTGTTTTTCAACCACTGTGCCGCGGCACACTAGTGTGCCGTGACATAGTGTAAGGTGTGCCGTGGGAAAATTACTTTATATATAGTCAATATAGGCACAGAGTTAAATTTTTTTAACATTTTCTAATGGTGGTGTGCCTCGTGATTTTTTTCATGAAAAAAGTGTGCCTTTGCACAAAAAAGGTTGAAAAACACTGGCTTAGATAATGAAATGCACTCCCATAAAAAGATGCATGAAATCTGTCTAGCGAATTACTCTGCCTAGTAATTAAGAAGAACTAAAGTTGTATAATTTCCTTGCCTGAAGCTGTATTAATATGCTGCCAAATTGTAAATTGGCATACTTGATTTGTGGCATTTGCTCAAAGTGTGCCTTTTTCACCTGTACAGAATAAAAATAAATTTTGGTTTCCACTATTTCTGGGTGTTTTGTTGGCTGTTCACACCAAGTGAGTCAACCCAGTATTGGGCTGAGCCAACATTCTTAGGGCTAAGAGAAAAAGTGACTGGCCTATCACACAAGTAGCTTTGTGCCAAAGCAGAACAAGAATCTTGGTCTCCCAGTTTGTAGCCTGATGCTTTTCACCACCACACCAAACCACCTGCCATGAGAGTTATGTCCTCATTTGTTTTTAATTTTTGCACCAACCTTTACCAAACCATCAAAGCAATTTACAATATTGTAAAAAAAAAAAAAAAAAACCAGTGAGAACATAAAACTTGAACGTATTAAGATAATGGTTAGGTGAAGTGCTGACCAAGATACTGTTAATTCTAGTCCAAACCTTAGGCATTGAAAGCCTAAGTGCCAGTCATTCTCAATCCAAGGTTGATTTTTCCCTCACAAGATTGCTGCTTTGGAGAAAATATGAGGTGGAAGGAATATTAGGTATGTTCACTGCAGAGGTGGGTTGCTCCTGGTTTGGCCCAGATCAGGCAAACTGGTAGTATCGGCAGTGGGAGAATCCACCCACCCGCCTGGACGCTTCTGTGCATGCACCCAAATCGGTAGTAAAAAAATTGGCAACCCACCACTGGTTCACTGTCTTCAGTTATTTATGAAAAGTAATAAATATGGGATAAAAAAATAGGGAGAGAGGGAGGGAGAGAGAGAGGGAAAAGGAAAGAAAGCCTAGCACAACGACAATAGTCAATCAATTATAACAAATTATTCTGCCATTGGCCAATTAAATAGATGTTCCTCCTTTAAAGTATTTGTTCAGTACACATATATCTAAACTGTGCTGGATTGATAACAATCATTCACCTACAATAATTTTGCTAGAATTGACAGAGTCACAGAATATGCTTACACTTCAGACAAAACAGTCTCAAAGTGCTCTTTATTTGAAACGTTTTAACCAGGCTGATATTTTCCAGCTATTGGAGACATTTATTTTCTTTCAGAATTGACCCACCACATCCTGTATATCTTACCTTGGAGAGTAGCCCTTCTTTCTTCCTGGCTATGTTGAAGAATTTGCAATATTTCTCAGCTGGTAAACGCAGTGGCAGCACAGAACATTCAGCTACTCAGGGAATAGAAAGTAAAGCTAAATTCAAGGAATTGAAAGTGAAAGAAGGAACTACAGCAGAAAAATACATAGGAAAAACCTGGAGAAGTAGTGCGACCTCTAGCTGTGCGACCTGGATACAGTAATGATTTACTGTAATGAATTAATTACGTTCTATTTGTATACTGAAAATACCTTTATAGAGGTAGTCCTCGACTTACCACAGACCATTTAATGACTGTTTGAAGTTACAATGGCACTGAAAAAAGTTATGACCATTTTTTCACACTTAAAACTATTGCAATCAAATGAAAATGGAGATATAATGATGGTGACATGTATAAATATTTGAGTTAAAATACTTAAGTTAATATGAACTA